ACTCTTTTTCACTTATTGAGGTCCTTCTTTGTGTTTTGTTTTTAATATGCCTTAAATATGCCTCAGTCCTGCCTTTGCCTTGTTATTTCTGTCTTCCTCTCACATGAGAAATTTCCCCACAACTCTTTCCTGTTAACGCAGCTTTCATCTCTTTATTAAAATGTTTCAGGTCCTATAAAAAATGTTTTTATAAAGTTTTTATAAACTCTACCACACTATTTGAGCACTTTTCTTTTTGGCTTATACTCTGATTTGTATGTTTTATTTTGCCCATAAGATTTTTTTTTTATTTTGCCCATAAGATTTTAAGATTAATGATGTCATGTGAGTTTTGGTACTTTATTAGTATCAAAGAAAGTAATCCCTTAAAGTGATCTCTTTCTTAATCCCTCTTTTTAGACATTTGTAAAATGTTAAATAAGGTTAGTGATCCTGTTTCTCATTCTGATTCATTGGGAAACTCCGTGCTTCTCTATCTAATCAAATAAAATTATTTTCAAATTTCAGCTCTGCCTAAGTGTGACCTTAGGGTATTTTCGTTTACCCGTCTTTATTCATTTCTAGAATATTGAAAAGAATATCTACATGGTAGAGTTCTATCAGATATTAGAGATAATATATGTAAGGCACCAGCACATGAGGCTTCTTTTATTCATAGATGTAGCCTTTGGTCTGGAACCTTGTTGTATATATTCTATCAACAGTTCCCTCCACCTCCTCATGCCTGCGTGTCCCTTAAAAAATTTCTACTTATGATGATCTTGACAACACAGTGAATTCTTTCTTCTCACAAGGTCTGTTTATGAGTGTCAGTATCACCAGTTTGTCCAGTCTGGAAATAAGATGAACTATTATTTCATTCCCAGGATTCCTTTTAGAACCTGTCTCATTGAATGTTCTTCCATCAGCAGTCTGCTGTCTTCTTGTATACTGGCTATTTATAGTAACAAGTCGGCAGTCCCACATCTCTTTAAAATTTATGATTAGGTGCTACCTGGTCTACATGATTTAGTTGCAGTTAATTGGTTGATTAGATGTAAACTAGTACATTTAGCACAGTTTGAGTCTCCTTAAAAAGGCACGTTTGCAGTTCAATTCAGAAGGTCTTTTTGTGCAATTTTCTGTTTGATGGCTGTTTTGAAATTTAGGTTTGTTCACTGTGCCTGCTTTTTATTAACAAATCTTTGAGTTCTCTGCTTCCATCTGACAACATATTTGAGATTGCATTTTATGAATGTGAAACCTTGCACATGCTTACTGATTATTTAGGCCTTATTTCTGCTTCCTGTGTTTTTGAAAATACCAGCTGCTGCATAGTTTTAAAAGTCTAATTTAATTTGACTGACACATGATTTTTGCAGTTCATAACATGAATATATTCTCCTTGTTTGTATTCGTAAGCCCATTGGTCCATAATGTGTTTCTTTGATTTAATTTCATTGCTTTATTTTAAAAATCAATAGCAATAACAAACGTCTTGGGGAAGCCTTCTTATTAAATTTTTGAAACATATTTCTATTTTCTGGAATTCACACTTGTGCTTACAAAACTCCTTCCTATTTTAGTGGTTTTCTATTTTAAGAATTTTATTTTTTAATTAGAGAACAGCTTTTGATATTAATCTGATTTTATATTGTATTTATGGAACCAATTGCATTTTGGATGTGTGAAAGAAACATATTTCCTCAGTTGCTCAATGCAGTTTTCAGAAACTACTGTCTAAATTTAGTTACACACATAGCAGATTGTTTCATATCGGTGATTTTTAACAATTTGCAGTTCAGGAAGCCTCTTTTAAGAGTCATGCTGTTTTGTCCCTTCTTTATGCATAGGCAACTGCAGAAGATTAAAGGACTCCATACAGCCTTGTTTTATAAATGGGATAGTATGTATAATGCATAAATATAAGACACTATAGAAGATCTTTAAGAACATTATAACAGGCATATATACCAAGTGGGAAGCAGCTACATGGGTGCTTGGGACAGCATGTGGACCAGGGCATTAGAATAGGGCATGGAACAGGATAGCCTTCGTGGAGGTGATGGAATTTGAAGCCTGATCAGGCACTCAGAACCCAAAGGCTGTTCCAGGCAGAGATGGTAGCCTGAGCAAGCAGAGAGGCTGGAAGGCAGCTGGCCTGTTGGGATGTCCGGGAGTATTGAGTCCCCTTGAGGATAATGGTCGTTTCTGATTCACCTTTAAGTTCTGCATTGTGCCAACACACAGCACCTTACATGTTATGTAAATTCAACAAATATTTACTAAACTGAACTGTGTTGTTTTTACCTACACTTTATCATAGTTCCTGGGACCACTTTTCTCTGTATCCTAACATGTTGTATCTTTGCTCACAAATACATATTTTTCAGGGAAACAAGTCAAATCGTAATTTCAGTGACTTTGTGTATTAGTTGGCTTTACAAAGAAAAGTAAAACTTAAGTTTTATATAAGGAGAGAACAGCTTTTGATATAAATTTTGTAGTTCTTAAATTGTATCTCTGGAAACACTTGCTTTTTGGATTTGTGAGAGAAACATTTCTCTGTAGTTACTTGTTTAGTGTTTTTAGGAACAATGAAATGGTCATTAAAGCATCCAATAAACTGATAGCAACCCCAACCAAGTATACTTTAAATAAAAGCTAAGTGAAGTCTGTCCTGCTATGAAAATGTAATGAGTAAATAAAAGGTTAATATATAAGTAGCAGATAAGGTTTAGAAACTATTAAATCCATCTTGAGAGATTTTTTTTTTTCTCCCCTTGTAAAGCAATAAAATCTATGGGTAAAAGACTGTAGAGGTTGGCATTTTTAAAATTATAGTTGGATAACAAAATCCACCTAAAATTAAAACATGCACACACAGGCAAAAAGTAGTAAACTTTTTTTTTTTTGGTTATTGACTTTTCCTCGCATGACTACAGAACATTCCTTGTAACAGTTTTGTTGGTTGGTTGGTTTTCTTGTCATTATTCCGAACACTAGAGCAGTAGGTCCTATGTTGGTGAACTATTTATGCTATTTTGATTCATTAAAAAAACTTAGAGTCCCGGGTTTGACCCCTGGGTCGGGAAGATCTCCTGGAAAAGGAAATGCTGCCCACCCCAATATCCTTACCTGGAATTCCATGGACAGAGGACGCTGACCAGCTGTAACCCATGGCGTTGCAGAGAGTTGGACGCAACTGGGCAACTAACACACACACAGTTTTCTCTCTTGTATTTGTAATGTTATAATATGAGCTACTGATTTAAGCATGTACACATTTTTCATTCTGGAAACGTTTAATGAGTGCTTGCTCTGTCAGCCTGCTGTTTCACAGGAGTTATAGAGACTGTAAAGGCTTCCCTCACGGCTCAGTGGTTAAGAACTTGCCTGCGATGCAGGAGATGTGGGTTTGATCCCTGGGTCAGGAATATCCCCTGGAAAAGGAAAAGGCACCCACGTCAGTACTCTTGCCTGGAAAATCCCCTGGACAGAGGAGTCTGGCGGGCTACAGTCCATGGGGTTTCGGAATCAGACATGACTTAGTGAGTAAGCATACCCACAGAGAGACAAAATATGAATTCTTTGAGGCATTTGCAGATTTAGATTTTTTTTTTCAGTGATAAGATAAAATTATTCTGATTAACCCACATTATTATCTCTTTCAGAATTCCGACTTTGATCTGTGAGGTAGTTGTAGAGTCAGGGTAGTGTGGAAGGGAATTTTGCTCTTTTTTGCCTGAACGGGGCTGACTACATGAGCCTCGTTTCTTTACCTGCCATCCAAGTCCAATCTGCTGAGCACTTGGGCATTTGTTTTATTCTTAGGAACTTGACTGTTTGGACTTTCCCTTACTCTTTGCAGCTTGATGCAGGTCTTTATTGAATTACTGTAGAATTTTGAATCATTGTTATGCTGATAACTAAAACAGAGCTAATATTAGACCTTCTGGGAATTATTTTTTAAAATTAATTTTAGAAGTATTGATATTATAAAGGAACTTTCAGACATATCACTATGCAGTGATTATAAGGGGATATGTTTCAAATTTCTTGCCATATTAAGTATTTAGAATTATATGTATATAATTTTCAAAGTATTCAAAACTATTATATATATATTTACATATCCAGTTTTCATTTTATTTAACCAGTATGCAAATAATAGCCTTCATTTTTACCAAATGGTTCAAAGGTGGTACAATAAGAGGTTAGTCTGGGTTTATTTTTGTTTAAAACAGACTGTTACTTTAAAAGTGAGGTGTGGTAACATGTGTTGCATACTTTTCAGATCTTTGCTTTAATAAAATTCTACTACATAGCTAGCCATATTCTTCTGGTGTGAAACTGACTATTAATATTTTGGAAGCTAGTTTTAGGAAAGATTATATAGCTAAATAGAACCAGAGTCAGCAACTTAAGGCTGGAGTATTTTTATTTTTAATTTTTTCGAAGCTTTAGAAAAGCTTTCTAAAGAAAACAGTTGTTGATAAAGCTAGTAATAAGAATAGCTTTTATTTTATTTATTTCTTTGAATCATAATGTGTTAAGCATTTTAAAATTATTTTACATATGATAGAAGTATTGTTGCTATTCTGTTTTAAACTTGGGGAGACTGAGGGTTAAGGAAGAAGAGCAATTTGCCCCGAGTTTATTGCACTAAGTAGTGGAGGTAGGTTTGGCTTCTCAAGGGCTGATGGCTCTTGAGCGTGGTCCCACGTCTGTATCCCGTTAGCGCTGGACAGGGTTAGTGCTTTCCGTCCTTTTGGTAGGTAGCTTACACATCGTCCTGTATTTGCCTCTCATTTCACTTAGTACCTTGAGTGAAATCAAGAAGATATCTATAGAAGTCCTTGATAATCAATTGTATAAGGTTATGTTTCAAGAACACTCTTGAGATCGGTCTGTATATATACACATCTAGTCTGTCCTTTTTGGAGTTGTTGATTTATGTTTGTGGAAGTTGAGGGACCTTGTGGCACGTCCTCACACCGTGACTGTTTTCTGACTTGCAGGTTTTAAATGCACAGAGAGCAGGCTACAAAGCAGCCATAGTCCACAATGTTGACTCCGATGACCTCATTAGCATGGGATCCAACGACAGTAAGTACAGGTATCACTTTTCTTCTCTCCTGTTTGACCAGTCGTTCAAAACTAAAATTTACCAGAGTGTCTCTTCTTTCGTTTTCTGTTCTAGAAAGCAAAATTTCTTCCCCATCAGAAAGATAATTTCCAGTTTCTAATCCCCTTGGGATAACTTTGCTCGCAGTATAAGTGGAATTGACTTGTTCTTTCCTGAACAGTTTGTTCTTGTTGCTGGTTTGTTTGTTTGTTTTTAACCCATGTGTTTCATTTTCGAGGATGTGTTGATATTTTGGTAAAAGCTAAAGGAAAACCAAAGCTTTAAATAGAGAGAAGCCTGTTGAGTTAAGGATGCCATAGGAGAATTTTTGTGATTTATTTAGAGATTCACAACATTAAATTTTAGAATATGCAGAAATACTAAGTAGCTACTGTATTCCTGTGGAATGTCAAAGCCACATACTTGTGCTCTCTTATACCAGTTGGTTATTATTGGCCTCTTAATATATATTGGCATGCCTATACCTTTTTGTTCAAAGTGGCAATATCTTTCCTTATTCTCTGTGAAATATTAGCTTGTAGGGAAAATGAGCCAATTTTAATGAAATAACTGGCTTTTAATCAGACTGATTTTTAAGCTGTATGCTTTCACTTAATTTATTGAGAGTGATAAAGGTGTCTCCTTTATGGTGATAAGGCTCCTTTTGGCCCCCACCAAATGATGGGGCTGGTTGCTCGGAGAACTAACTAGGTGATTAGAGGATTGGAACTTTCAGCCCCACCCCCAACCTCAGTGGCCAGTGGTTTAGTCATTCATGCCTATGTAGTGAAGCCACCGTGAAAACCTACAAGGACAGGTTCAGTGAGCTTCTGGGTTGGTGAAAGTGGAGATGCTGGGAAAGCTGCCCTCCCCTGGAGAGGGCATGCATCCCTTCCCATATCCCTTGCCCTATGCATCTCTTTCATCTGCTTGTTTCTGAATTATATCCTTTCTTAATAAACTGGTAATCTAGTAAATAAAATGTTTCTTTGAGTTCTGTGAACTGCTCTAGCAAATTAATTGAACACATGGGGTAAGGATTGTTGAAACCTCCAGTCTGTAACTGGTAGGTCAGAAGCAAAGGTGACAACTTAGACTTGTGGCTGGTGTCTGAAGTTGGGGGTGGGGATTCTTGTGAGACCAGACCCTTAGCCTGTGGAATCTGATGCCATCTCGAGGTAGATAATGTCAGCATTGAATTGAGTTGTTTCATGGTGTGAGGAAGATGCCCATGTACATTGGCAGTTGGGATCAGAACCCCAGATACACTAAATAAACTGCCAACATTCATGATTAAGTATTTTGTTTTTCTTTTAGTATATATCCATAATACCTCTTGTTATTAAGTTGCATTGAATCATATATGCAAGAAAGAGTTTGCAGCAGAGAGCAGACATACAAGGCATGGATTGATATACTCCATTGCAGTGTATTTAGGACTTTAACTGTATCCTCAATAGGGAATATTTTGGATTTCTTGACCAAAAAATCTTTTTATAACACGGGACATTATTCTTCGTTGTTGCTGTGCTCAGTCGCTGAGTTGTGTCCAACTCTCGGCGACCCCGTGGACTGTGGCCCACCAGGCTGCTCCATCCATGGGATTTCCCGGGCAAGAATGCTGGAGTGGGTTGTCGTTTCCAACTCCAGGGGATCTTCCCGACCCAGGGATCAAAGCCATGTCTCCTGCAACTCTCTTCCTTCTTATCCCTAATACAATCTAGGGCACAATCACCATATATAAACAGTGAAACTCGGTGAAAAGTTCCTTACTTTCTTTACATTTTAAATGATTATTTTACTCTTCTGGCTGGCTAAGCCATCATTGTAGAATGCATGATGTGCCCATAAGAGCTTCTGGCACTGCACTGAAAGTTTAACAGCCACTGATAGGAATTAGAGGAATTGATGAAGGGATTTTACTTATCAAGTAAACTAATACTGTCGGTACTGCACATTTGATACAGGTTTCTTCCCCTCCTTTAATCACCTCCCTTAAAACACTATCCTACAGCATACCTCCCACGTTAGTCATCTCTGTGACCTGTACACTTCACTAGCAAAATGGAAAGCAGAGACACTCTAAAAAATAGGCCTGAACTCAAGTCCAAGCTCCTGCTTGGATTGACTGTATAATTTTGAGCAAGTTACTTGCTCTTTGCGGAGAAGGCAGTGGCAGCCCACTCCAGTGCTCTTGCCTGGAAACTCCCATGGCCAGAGGAGCCTGGTGGGCTGCAGTCCACGGGGTCTCGAAGAGTCGGACACGACTGAGCGACTTCCGTTTCACTTCTCACTTTCATGCGTTGGAGAAGAAATGGCAGCCCACCCCAGTGCTCTTGCCTGGAGAATCCCAGGGGCGGGGGAGCCTGGTGGGCTGCCGTCTGTGGGGTCGCACAGAGTCGGACACGACTGACGCGATTTACTTTTTGTGTGTTTTGCTGAAAACCTGGGCTTAGGGTTTAGCGACCCTCAAGACCTTCTCAAGGGTTTTGGGTTGAATAAAATGATTAGTATTTGTAAACTATTTATTCTTTTAACATGCTTTTAATAAAAATTTTTCAATTTGGAATTGTCAGTTCCCTTGGACACCTGTTTTGGCTTCATGTCACTAATAAAACCTTTTTTGTGATAATCATGTCAGTTCCTAAGGAAAGTGTGCTAAATATTAGAAGTAGCATATAACCATATAATCCTGTTGTTGCTATGGAAATGTTCCAACTGAGTTATTTTATTTCAAAAATTGTTCAGAATTTTGGTTCTTGACTTTATTGCTTCGATTACTTTCGATGACATTTTGCTCTGTCCTTGAGTATGTATGTGTTTGAACATTTCATATATCCAACAAGCTGTAAAGATATTTCCCATTTTCATCTTTGCTGTCACTGGTAGAGGAAAGAAAGCTTGGGTTTATTAAAATAAGCATGTATCTGTCACTCTTTTTAGGCTTAGATCATAACCACAAGGAGAACACTGCACGTATTCTCGTAATATATGGTTCTGACATCTGGAAACAAAAGGAAGTTTTACAGACCCCTTGTTGCCAGCATTTCACACAGGAATGTGTCAGTTTTTTATTTCAGGTAGGACATAGGACAGGTTCACCTTGAGTCAGTCACATTTGTCATCTTCAGGAGGCAGGAGAATGTGATGAACATGAACTTCAAGACTAGGAAATGTGGGTTTATTTCAGGCTAGTTCATAAAAGTTACTGATCTTTCCAAGTCCTTTAGTTTCATCTATAAAAGTGTGAGTAGTTTTAATTTTTTTTAACCCAACAAGATTGTGAAGATCATATGAAAGAAGGCATATGGGGAAAAACCCATGATAAGAGAGTGGAAAGAGTCTAGATTAGGAGTCTGAACCTCAAGTTTGGGTCTAGGCTGTGCAGATTGCTGTATAAACAGGGCAAGTTATCAATATGTCTGGGCTTGTTTCTTCTCTTTTCTTCCTTGCTTGCTTCCTTCATCAGATACTTTTTGGTAGCCTAGTCCCCATCAAGTACTCTCTCAGGCATCATGACTACAGAGGAAATAATACAGTTTTAAGGCTTTGCTCATACTTTTCATTGAGGTAGCAGAATGATATAGTTAAGAGTGTGGTTTCTGGGTATGGCCTTAGAAGGTTTGAATCCCAGCTCCACCACCTACCAGTGGTGTGGCCTTGGGAACATCACCTAACATCTCTGTGCCTCACTTTTCTGGTATGTTAAATGTGGATAATAAGAGCATTCAAGTCATTGGCTTGTTGCTTATGACATATAAATATTTAGAAGACTTCCTGGTTCTTAATAGCTGTTTAATGATTCTTTAGCTGCTATTAATTTTTATTGCTGTGGTTATTATCATTACATTCTAGAGTGGGAATAATACTCACAGAGGTATGGTATATGTCAAGTAGTGAGTGGTAAGTGCTATGAAGAAAAACATGCCAGGTTAAAGGAATACAGGGTGACAGGGATGAGAGGCTGAGAAGGGCTGTTTTTAGATAGGGTGATCAGAGAAGGTTTCTTGAGGCTTTGACATTAGAGCATAGGTCTGAAGTGAAAGGCTAAGCCATGCAGATTTCTGGAGGAGGGTGTTTCAAGGAAAAAGAACAGCAGACAAATGCAAAGGCTCAGGGATAAAGCAGCTCTGACAAAAAGGTGTGACAGAACGTCAGGGTGGCTGCAGTAGAGTGAACAAGGGGGAGAGAGATTGTAGGGGGTGAAGTTAGAGGAGAGCCAGAGGCTAGACCATGTTGGGTATTGTAGGACTTTAGAATTTGTTTTATGTAGGTTTTAAACAGAGGTGTGAGCTGATCTGATCACTTCGGTTGTTCTTTGGAGAACAGACTGAAGGTGAAAGATGAGCAGGAGTGCTGGCTGAGAGACCAGTTACAACACTGTTGCAACAGCCAGGCAAGAGATGATGGTGGTGGAGAACTAGCAGTGACTGTGATGGGAAGTGATAGAATTATGGATGTGTTTTGAAGTTGATAGGGTTTGACCTAAGGAATAGAAGGGAGGAGTAAAGGAGAACTCCAAAATGTTTAACTTGAGAAACTAGGTGAAAATAGTTAATGCTGTTTACAGAGATGAGGAAGAGTAGGACTGATGAAGGGAAAAAAGATATAGAGCAATCCATTTGAGAAACATTGTTTGAAACATCTGTCGTGCATTCAAATGGAGATATTGAACAGGCAGTTGGAATATGCATCTAGAGAGGTTGGGCTTGACCACTTAAATTATAACCTGTCTATGGTACGATACTACTACTTGGCATGTGTGCTTTACAGAGTTATTTTGTGGATCAGAATTAAAATTCAGTGTTTTTAAAGTATTTTGTGAATGAAAACATTTGGTTTTGTTTTCAGTAGATAAACGATGTGGTGGAGTCTCTAAGATGGCTCTTCATATTTGTATACATCATTTCCCTCTTCTTAACCTTTTGACTGAAGTGAGGAGCTTTTAACACCTCATTAGATGTCAAAACTCAAAGTTATGTTACTTCCAGTAATTATAAGCCAGTAGTTACAAGCCAAAAATTCCTCTTTGAGTTTATCAGGGTATCTTTGTGAAAGAGTAGAACATTTTACAAAGGCCATTCAGTTCCAAGCTTTAATTACCAAATAAATTAAAATTTAAACTGTTATGTGAAAGGGAAAGATCTCTTAACAGGACAGAAAATATCTTCCTAAAATATGTATGATTATATAATAGTACTTCTGCAGCTATTAAAAATTATGAGGTAGATATTTATTTAGTGACATGACAGAATGTCTGAGATATACCATTGAGTAGGAAAAAAATCTATACTTTTCCCCATTATTATATGATCCCATTAATACAAAATTTTTCATATTTATTGATCTTATTAATACAAAGATAGTGATTAAATATTCTTCTGCTAACCATTTTGGCTCTTTCGCTTTTAGGGCTTATATGATATTAGAGTGTATGTGTGTGAGAGACAGAGACACACCCAAGGAATGTATGAAATGGATGATTTTATTTGTGTAAATCCAATCTGAAAATGAAAAAGCATGTATTCTATTAAGGATACTAAGATTTAAAAATTTTTAAACTTGTCTTTGTAAGAATTAAAGAAAAATATATCAGTGGTTGCTGAGGTTGTGGCAAGGGCTTGACTGTTAAGGGGCATGAAAGAATTTGGAAGGATGATAACGTATTTTTTTATCTTGATTGTGGTGGTGGTTTCATAATGGTACCTATTTGTCAAAACTTACAGAACTGTTTCTGTTGCTTCAAATAAAGCCTTATCTTTAGGTGGGAAGGGTTATGATTGTGTTCTGTTCTTCTTTATGTGCATCCACCTCTCTCCTCTTTTAAATAAATAATAAATAATGCAGTTTTTAAAAGAAATGTAGAACAAAACTGTTGTGCAGAATGTAACAAAAGAAAACAAATGGACTTTCTCTAAAGCCAAATGCGTTAAAGTAACTCATAGTTAAAACTACGGCTGTTTTCCGTGATGACAGTAAGCGAATTTTACTTCTCTTCTTGAGCCGTGGGTAATTTTTACAAAGTTCTTTTTTTGTTGGCATTTGATTTTGGTTTTTTAATATAGATATGGAAGTAAATTTTGTAAGGCACAGGTCAAAACACAATGCTTTAACTTGCACTCCGAGCTTAGGAGGAAGTAGAAATTTACCAGGCTCCCTGCCCAGTGCCCTTTCGGAACCCTTGTCATCCCTTCACTCTGGAAAGCCTTAGATGTGTGGTGTCATTTTTCAGACTGTTGTAAAGTGGTCTTTTCTTACATTCTTTGGCTTACACCTCTCTTGGGAATGGGTATGTAAAAAAAGCTTTTTCACTTTTTCATTTAGGGATTAAGTTATGTGTGGGAAAAAATACTTTATTTCTTCCTCTTATTTCTTTTCTAACAGTTAAGTATGTCTGTACAGGAATAAATCAAGTAAATCAAAATGGAAATAGAGTAAGATTTATATTTCAGTCTCATAGGACTATTGAGATAGTGTGGTAATGTATATCTGCAAAATGTTATTAGCTTTTGTTGTTGTGAATGTCATCCTGTTTCTCGGCCATTTGGATCATGGTATAAATCTGCAGTCTGGAAAATCAACTAATAGACAATTCAAATTGATTATAGTTATTTCCACTTACATTGATATTTGCTGTTATTATAAAGAAAGTTAAGTTGATTTTACACGAACTATGGGCTTTGAAGAATAACTTTTACTATTGTTTTATACAGTTGAGGTACTAAAGAAAATTGACATTCCATCTGTCTTTATTGGTGAATCATCAGCTAATTCCCTGAAAGACGAATTCACATATGAAAAAGGGTAAGTCATGGATATAAAAAAAAATCATGTAGCTTAAATTCTTTTCTGTGTGAGGGTAGAATTATTTAAGATTAGTTGTAATCAAAAGTATGTTTTAGAATGTACTCTATTGTGCTAAATTATATCTTTTCTTAAGTCATAATTTTAAGACTTGACTTTTCTTCTGTGTATGATTGCATATTGAAAATATGTTTATGCTAGAGAGATTTAGGCACCCATGTTGCTAAAAAGAGAACTTCCCCTTTTATAGTTTAGTCAAACCATTGGTATTTAGAAGCAATGTGATTTACATTTATATGATACTTTACATTAAGACATATTCTATTTTATTAAATGGAAATGTTTTATAAAGAAAGAATCTAACACACGATGTGTTTGTGACTAACTTTTACAAACACAGTTTGTTTTCAAGTTTAAAAAGTTTGACTTGGATTTTAAAACTTCTTATGGAATTTCTCCCCCAAATCTCATTACCATGATAGAATTCAGACTGAAACTAACCTAAGGCACAACTGTCTTATCTAATATAGAAAACAGTGCAGTTCAATTAATACTTCAGAGCTTCTTCTAAAAAACAGGTACCAAAACATAGTGGACAGGAACAGGCATTTGACCAAGAGAACAATATTAATAATAAAAGCAGTAATATTATAATATAGTAATATAATAAGTATCAAGGATTTAGCAAGTGCCAGGCACTCATGAAACAAAGCTTTTATATTTGTTAATCCATTTAATTCTAACAACAACCCTCCAGAAGTTATTATTATTATCTCTTGCCATCTACATTTGCCAAAAGGGGAAACTGGCACAATGAATGCAATTCTAATTATTTGGGGCAGGGGAATCCTTGATTATTTGAGTTTGAATATGAATAAAAAAAGAGAGGGAAAGAGTGTCTGTTTACATTTTTTGTCCTTTTCCCTATATGGTTTTGATATTTAAAATACTGTTCACATATTTTGTGCTTAGAACATCTTTATTAAGTTAGGGAATATAATTTTGGATATTGTACTAAAAATAGTAAGCAAGATGCTATTTTGCAAGCCATATTTGTGTAGTTAATGGGGGTGAGGAGAACTACTACTTGCTTTTATATCAGTATTTTTCCCTCATATAGAAAAATTGTGTGTATTTTAAAGAGTCCTTTTGTTTTAAATAATAAAACCATTTCTTTTTAAATTAAGAAGTGATAGATACCTGCTGATAAAATATGGAAAAATTCAGAAATAGAAAACATTTAAGTGAAAGTCCCTATGATGCTCTTCACTGACAGTTTAATTTTTTTCCCCATGTTTGAATGCTGACCTTAACTAGAGGTACCCTGCTCATAAAACAGGACCTTGTCATATTCAGTATTTTGTTACATACTTCATTTATTTAATGTTTAGACCTTTTCCATGTTAATGCAAGGGCACAAAATCTCTTATCCCAGCTCTTTGGGACAGATATAATGTGGAATTGAAGCATTTTCAGATTTTTAAAAGTTAAGTAATATTCCGAGGGATAGAATTTGAGGATTGAGGCAGCATTCTATAATCAAATAACATATATATCTGCAATAAATGTATGGGTGTTTGATCATGTCAGTTAGGTTCAGGTTGACTATCAAATGAATTGCAAACATTACTTTTTACAGCTTTTTAGGTTTCAGAATTGTTCTGAAGGATTGTAGACCTGTGCACACTGGTTTGTCTCACCTGTCTGTTGACTGGCCAGTTGGTCAGTCTGACTGCTTGCCTGCCTACCTACCTGTTAATTTGTTCAGCTGTTTAAACTAGAGACGGGCACGGTGAGTCTGATCACTCAGCTTCAGGATTGTCAACTGTGGCCAGTTCTGCTTGGGTTCTTCGCTCTTAAGTGCCACCTGCCCTTTTTCCCCACGCCATGATCATTATTTTAAAGCAAGTGCTGGACACCCTTTGATCTAAACTGTAAACATCTCAGACTATATCACTAGAAGATAAAGTTACATATAAAATATGATGGCATTTCACTATTTTATCCTTTTTTAGTTAAGAAAAGTAAACATTTAATTCAATATCAAAACATTTCAATCTAGATTTGTTTCAGAGCAAATAAGGGCATATAATGACCCTATTTTTAATCTATAAGTTTGCTGTGCCTCTTTTTTTTTTCCCTACTCATTTATTTATTGGAGTAACAGGGTCATTTGTCCTGTAAAATTTTACCACAGTCTGGACTTTTCTGCCTGCATCCTTGGTGTATTGTCTAGAGGGTTCCTTTGTTACTTATTTTCCCTGTAAATTGCAAGTTAGATCTAGAGGGCTGCTCACATTCAAGTGTGGCTTGGGGGCCAGGAGGATAGGTAAGGCAAGAATAATTTATATGTATTATGTCTCCATCAGGAGACATAATATTTGGTTCTCTCTTTGTGATGTGAGCAATCATTAATAATCGTTGTCTGAAGCCATTGGTTCTTTAGGATTTGCAAGTAGTCTTACTTTATAATTCCTCCTTAATTTATTATCTGAAGTAACTCCATAAAGAGGATCGGCACCTCATCAGTTATTTGATTACGTACGTTGCTGTGCAGTCTGTGATGCGAAGCGCCTGGAGTCGGCGCCTAAAGGATCACCCAGCCGTGGTGGCCGTGTGATGTTGCTGACACCGTGCTGGTTGAGGAGCACGGAAGTACAGTGGAGAGATCAGCCGTCTCGGTGGCCGTTACACAGACCCTTCCCTGGTCTGAGGGAGTTTTCTGCTGTAGGGTTCGCTGCTGTATACAGTTTGCTCATGCAGCACAAATAGTGTGCTTATTCTGTTCAGTTTCATTTCTTGAGTCCCTGTCAGTTTTTATAATACTAGTTGTCTGGTTGATAACCATATAACCATATTAACTGTGGTTAATAACGAGGAGAATAGGGCCTTTGGTTATTTTCCCCCCTAACCCCCACAATATACACATTTTTGTAGTTTTTTGTGCTTTTTTTTTAAGTCAAGCAGTGGAGAAGGTTTAGAATAGAGAAGCTACAGCTCTTGTGAATTTCTTTGCCAGTTTTCCGTGCCATATCTCATAGATGAATGTGGAGTACGGGGGTTATATCCATTGTACTTGGTACAACAAATTCCCATAAAGCATAAAGGGAATAGGGAGTTCATTTCCATTAATAGTGGCTCCAGAGTTTTTCCATGGGAGAAAATGATGAAAAGTAATTTGGTGTGTGTGTGGGTGGGTTCTTGTTGACATTCTGCCAGTTTTAAATGCTGACTTTTTGCTTGTGAAATATGCTAACTTTCATCCAGGTTACTAAATTCAGTAAACACATGTTCTTAGGAGGGACACAGTAAGTGTTGCTTAACTGATTTCCTCTAACCAGTCCAAAAGTTTCTTTTAATTAAATGGCAAATTATTTTGATAAATATGTAAAGCTGATTTAAAAATGGAGAAAACATCCCTTAACTTAATGGAAATCATCTATTAGAAAATTGATGGGTCTAGTGGATTAAATTGTAATGTCCAAATGCTTTTAAAAAATATTTTTGTTTTCAATTAACATCATAATTTGACGAGTCAGTATTTCCTAATTATTTATCTTTGTTTTCTTGCAGGGGCCACATTATCTTAGTTCCAGAATTTAGCCTTCCTCTGGAATACTACCTAATCCCCTTCCTTATCATAGTGGGCATCTGTCTCATCTTGATAGTCATTTTTATGGTAGGTAAATTAATTTTAAATACTTAATATGAATGGCTCTAAAACACATTATACTGAGAGAGGCCTTACATAGAAGAGTACATGTTGTATGAGTCCATTTACATGACTTCTGGAAAAGGTGGAAATAATCTGGGTTGAAAAAAAGCAGAACAGTGATTTCTTTGGGGGAGTAGGTGCGGGGAGGAAAGGAGGTGAGGGATTTACTCAGAAGAGTATCAGGGAATTTCCTGGAGAGTGAGAATCATGTTGTGTATCTTGTTTGGGTTGCACACTGTCTGATTCATCAAATTGCATACTCAAATTTTGTGCGTTTCATTGTATGTGAAGTTTACCTAAAAAGAAAAATTAAAAAGAGCTATAAAAAATACTAAACTCTAAGTAATGAGTTTACATGCTGAATTATTTGAGGGGAAGTATATTAGTATTTGCAACTTACTTTGAAATGGATTGTAAAAAATAAAGAGAAAAAGTGTATTGATGGGTAAATAGTGGGATAGATAGATATGTGATTAAAAAATATAGTAAAATGTTAATTGTAGAATCTAGGTAGGAGATATATACATATTTATTATACAAATTCTTCTAACTCTTCTCTAATTTGAAATTTTTCATATTAAAATGTAAATAAAGAATACTGTGAGGCCTTAAGGTTAAGAGGGTGACACATTGTTTCCAAAATAGTGGTTATCGAGGTTGACCCCAGGACTCTTGGTGGGTCTGAAGGGTCAAAATTATTTCCATGATGATACTAAGCTATGGTTTTCCTTTGTCACTCTCTTTCTTTTGGGTTCATAGAAGAGGTTTCTAGAGGCTCCATGGTCTGAGGTATGAAAACAAATTGAATGCAGAAGCACATGTGAGAATCTCTCTGTGTCTATTAAGATAGATATTAAAAGAGATTTATAAAAATAGAAAACAATCCCACTATTGTCCCTAACCTTTTTATTTTTCATAAAGAGTATTTACAGTAACATCCAATGAGTTTATTATTGTATTGAATTAATAGACTAAAGGTTAAACACTGTCTTTGAAGTAGTCTTCCTGTGATGTGGTATTTCTTTTAATTTGTTGGTTTTTCATATCCATCAGTTTAATAATTTTTTTTCTGTAAACATTTAGCATGTCTTTTGTTAGATTTTTTTTTTAATTGTATTTTCTAATTAGATATTACTAAGGTATAGGAACTTACAAATATTTTAAAATAAACTTTTAATTTTGGAATAATGTTAAAATTGCAAAGAAGAGAGTTCCCGTGCATTCCTCATTTAGTTGTCCCCATTGTTAACATTTCGCTTACCATGATACAGTTGTCAAAACTAAGAAACTAACACAGTTAACATTACTGTTACTGAAGTCCAGACTGGAGAGATTTTACATTTTTCCATTAATGCTTTCTTTCCGTTCCAGGACCCAGTCCAGGCTACCACATTTTCTTGTTACCGTGTATTCCCAATCTCCTCTGACCTGTGACAGTTTCTTAATCCCTCCTTGTTTCTCATGACCTTGATAGTCCTGAGGAGTCCTGGCCAGGTATCCTGTAGAATGTTCCTCAGTCTGATATTTTTCTTATGGTTAGAATGGGTTGGTTATAGGTTTTTATAAAGAGTGTCAGCAAAGCAGAGTGCCCTTCTCATCCTAACGTGTCAGCCAGGGGCACACGGTGCTTGCATAGCATCGCTGATGGTGCTAACCTCCATCCCTTGCTTTAGGCTGTGTTTGCCAGGTGTTTCCACTATGAAGTTAGCATTTTTTCTCTTTCTGTATTCGATTCTTCCTTTGGAAGTGAGGCACTAACTATAGCCAGTCTTAAAAGTGGGGAGAGGCAGGAATTAAGCTCCACTTCCTGGAGGGAGGAAAGTATCTACATATATTATTTGGAATTCTTTTGTAAGGATGATTTGTCTCTTCTCGGCATTTACTTATTTGTTCAGTCACATTTATATTGGTATGTGCTCTGTATGTTTCTTTTATACTTTGGGTAATAACCCAGTACTACATTATTTTTGTTGTTTAATAGTTTGAGCTTTGGCCATTGGGAGCTCTGCAGGCTGGGTCTTGGATCTCTTTGATTTGGCTCATCCTTCTGTCATAAGTATAATACTTCTTTAGTGTTTGGTCCTATAAGAAACCCCAGGCTCATCATTTCTTTTTCTTGCCCTAGCCCTAAAACCAGACGTTTCCCCAAGGAGCCCTGGATTTGTTTTTTGTTTTTTTTTTTTTAATTGAAGATTAGTATTCAAGAAACCACTATTTGGACAGTGGACAGTATTGATTTTTCTATATTAATTTTATCTCTGCAGACTTACTGAATTCTCCTATTCTAGTAATTTGAATTTTTTAATTCTCTTGGGTTTTCAGTATAGAAGGAAATATGGAAAGTTAGAACAACAAGAAGTATCCTTGGCAAATTAGGAGTAAATACCTTTAAGCCAATAAAGATTACTGAGTAAAAACTTAAATGAACATTATGTAGTGAATTATTAGAAGCCTTCCCATGAATGTTAAAAAAAAAAAAATAAGATGCTTATTGTACTTCCTGTTTAACATTGTGCTATATTTTCTGGTAAGACAAAAAAAAAGTATAAGAATTAGAAATAAGGAAACAAAATTTTTCTTTGCCTTTTTTTCTTTTCAAATAAAGAATAGGTGATGCCTTATGTGTCTTTTTTTTCTATCATGATGATCATTGTTTTTCTTTTATTCTTATGTTGGATTACATGAATTTGTTTTGTAAATTCTAAAAACCCTAGTATCTTATGTACACTCTTTTTGACTATGATATATAAATTTTGCCTTTGCATATTGGGTTATCAAATTTCCAGTATGGATCAACCAGTTTACACTTAGGTGCAGAAATCCTAAATACTAGCAACCTGAATGTCCAGGTAAGAGAAATTTAGTTTTATGGGGCTAGAATAATCTTGACATCAAAACTAGATAATCCCTTGAGCACTGCTGGTGGGAATGTCAAATGGAGCTATCACTATAGAAAATAGTACAGCAATTCTTCAAAAAAAAATTAAACATAAATTTACCATATGATCTAATTCCAGATCTGGGTACATGCTCAAAAGAATTTAAAGCTGGAAGTTAGATATTTGTATGCTTATGTTCATAACAGCATTATTTCAATAGCCAAAGGTGAAAGTAACCCAGTTATCTTATTGATGGATGAATAGATAGACAAAATGTGGTATATACATGTGATGGAATACTGTTCAGCCTTAAAAAGGAAGGAAATTCGGACAGATGCTACAACACTGATGAATCTTTAAGACATGTTAAGTGAAATAAACAAGTGCTACAGGACAAATGCTGTATGATTCTATTTCTGTGTGGTACTTGGAGTAGTGAGATTCAGAGACTGAAAATAGAATGGTGGTTGCCAAGGGCTGTGGAGAGGGGAGGTTGGGCAATTACTGTTTAATGTGTACAGAGTTCCAGTTTTGGGAAATGTGAAGAGTTTGGTGGATGGATGGTGGTGATGTTAGCACAACAATGTACTTAATGCCACAGAACTGTATACTTAAAAATGGTTAAGATAGTAAATTTTATGTTTTGTATATTTTGCCATAACTTAAAATAACTAGACAAGATAAAGCTAGTCCCGTAAAACTAAAGCTTTCTTTTTTCTATTTTCTAAACTTTTTTTTTTTTTTTTTAATAAAATTGGGATTGTCTTTTTCCTGGAAGTTTTGGTGAAGGTTGCCTGTAAAATTATCTATATCTGCTGATTTTTTTTTTTTCATAATTACTTGGGTATATAAATGGTTGTCTTTTTCTTTATACCAAATTATATTTCTAAGAAATTTTCTGTTTTGTCTGTTTTCAAGTATTGTATAAAGTGATTTATAACATCTATGTACTCCTATAGCAACTTAAAAGAGAATTCCTACTATATATGGGATGAGTGCTGGTTTATTCATATCCACCCATACCTTGAGCAGTGTTGTCAGAAGTTTGTCTTTGTCTTTTAGAGAAGTGGATTTTGCAGTTTTCTTTTTTTCCTTTCATTCAAGCAATGGTTGTTCTGCATCTCTAAACCTAGCCACTGCTTTAGGGTCTGAAGTTTCCTCAGTGAACAAAATAGGTAAAAATCCCTGATTTCAAGCAGCTTACACTCCAGTAGGACATGTATTCTAATGTCTTTGCTCTCTTTTTTAATCCAGGTGGTGAAGAGGCATGGTAACTGTGGTTAAGATGTATAAACTTTCCCCATGTGTGAAAAGCATTTCAGGGTGTAAAGTTTTCTACATGTCCATTAACTTGAGCTTGTGTATTTGTCTTATCTAGTCTTTTTTTTTTTTTAGTATTTTGAAGAGAGTTTGAGATATACTTCACATAACACAAAATTGACCCATTTAAATGATACAATTCAGTGGTTTTTGGTATATTCACAGAACTGTGCAACTGCAGTATGCAGTAATCATTGCAATTGTCTATAGTTTTCTGCACTCCTCTGTCGTGTGAAGTGCTATGTAATAGAATGATATTGTGAGCCACATTTATTGTAATTTAAAATTTTCTGGTGGCCAAATTTAAAAAGGTAAAAGGAAATATTTCTGTGTGATTAACTTAATATTGTATTTATTTAACTTGGTAAATCCAAAATGTTATTTCAACATTCAGTTAACAAATAGTTACATATCCTACATCCTTTTTGTCCTGAGTCTTTGCAGTCTGGTGTATATTTTATACTTTCACAGTAAATCTCGATTGAGACATTCCAAGTGCTTGGTAGCTGCCTGTAAACGGTGGTTGCCATAGTGGGCATCTTGGGTCTGTGGTCTTTACTTTTTTTTTTTTTTTTGTCTGCTTGACCTAGAAATTACCGAGCTTGTGAATTTTTGTATTCTTCCACAATTTTGTCATTTTCTCGGTGAAGTATCCTTTTTATCATTGTGATAACTATTTCCTAATGATTATTTTTGTCTTATATCCTACTTTACTTGATAAACCAAATTTTACTTGGTATTATCATAACTATCTACCCCTGTATTTTTTACTTTTATTTTTGTCTTAACGTGTCATTAAGCTTTAATCTCATACCTTGTAAATAGCATATGGTTGGAAGTTTTTCTTTATCCAATATGATACACTCTAAATTTTAAACAAAACTGGTGAATTGAATCCATTTACCTTAGTGTGATTTGGACTAACTTCTGTTGTTGACTTTTTATTGTTTTTTTCTACTGTGCAGATTTGGATTACCCAACTTTTTTTCTCTTTATCCCTCTCTGCATTTTCCTGCTAGTTTGAAAGCTTATATTATATTGTTATTCTTCTAGTGGTCACTATTAAATTTCTAAAATAAACCTGTACTGAAATCTGCTGCTGCTGCTGCTAAGTCACTTCAGTTGTGTCAGACTCTTGTGCGATCCCCTAGGCAAGAATACTGGAGTGGGTTGCCATTTCGTTCTCCCACTGAAATATGATTAATATATTAATAAACTGCACATACTTAATTGTACAGTCTGGTAAATTTTGACATACATATATGGATATGTATGAAAGCACCATCATGATCAAGATAATGAAATATCAACCCACTAAAAAAATTTCCATTAAAAAAAAATTTCCTTATACTCTATGATAATCACTTTCTTTTCACCCCTTCCAAATTTCTCCTTCATTTCTTCCCTCCCCACCATCCCTGGGCAACCACAGGTCACTGTAGATTAATCTGCATTTTCTACCAGTTTGTATACAGGGACTCATAAGTCATGTACTCTTTTGTGTCTGCCTTCTTTCTCTCAGGATGCTTATTTCGGGACTCGTGAATGTTATTGAACACGTTGATGTTCATTACTTTTTGTTGACAAGCTGTCTTCCATTGTATGACTCTACTGCGGTTTTGTGTATTCACTTACCTGCTGATGAATGTTTGGGTTGTTTCTAGTGTGGGGCCATTAAATAAAGCTGACATAGACTTTTTTGTACCGTTGTGTACAAGTTGTTTTATGGATATACACCTTCATTTCTACTGGCAAAATATAAGTGGGAATGGGATGATTAGGTCATTTCATAAGTATGTAGTTAAATTTATAAGAAACCACCAAACTATTTTCCAGAATGGTTGTACAGTTTTACAGTCCTTCCAGTAGCATATCAGCGCACCAGCCCTTGTACTTGCCTGCCAACACTTGGGATAGTCAGTCTTTTTCATTTTAATAGATGTATAACATGTATATATATATATATACACACACACACACACACACATAATACAGCAGTGTTTGTGATTTGAATTTTTGTTTTTATCTTGACTAATTATGTTGAACATCTTTCCAAGTGCTTATTTGCCATCTATATCTTCAGCAGTGAAGTGTTTATTCAAATATTTTACCTACTTTCTGTTGGGTTGTTTGTGTGTTCTTATTATTGTGTTTTGAACTCTTTGTATATTCTGGATAGAAATCCCATGTGAGACATGCAATTTTCAGATATTTCCTCACAGTCTGTGACTTGTCTTTTATCTTTAAACAGTATCTTTTGAGGACGGAAATCACTGATGTAGACAGAAGTCTACTGATGTAGTCAAATCTGTCAAAATTTTCTTTTGTGAATGTTGTTTTTGGCATTTGGTTCTGATCCCATGTGTTTATTTTTATTCTTGTAAGCATAGCAATTTATATTTTTTAATGTTTTTTATATTTTATCTGATATTTCTATATAATATAGGTAATCTGTATTAGTTCTGTCCATTTTGCTACTGGAACCACTGAAGGTGCACTTTAATGCCTGTTATGTTTGAAAATTTTATTAGTTTGTAACTTATAGAAATTTCGACCCTCCCATTTTTGATTTAATGAAATCTTTGTAATCTAGAGTCTACCATTTATATTTTTGCAAACAAATAGTTACATGTTATTTATAATGTTTCTGTCAGAATAAAGTAAAGATAATTTAGGTCAGTGAATAAAAATTCAAAGGATAAACTATGGGCTAACTAATCACTAATAATAAAGATAGAGCTATAGTGTTAGACCCATGCCTCTCCCCAGCTCTGTCAGTACTGGCGATGTGACATTAAATTTTTTGCCTTTCTGACCCTCTATTTCCTCATATACAATACCCATTATAAAATTTGAAAATTTTATTTGTTTGTAACTTATAGAAATTTCAACCCTCCAATTGACACATTTCAATACAACTTGTCAATACATCTAATCATAGATATTTTAGCTAATAAGCCTTGTGATTAGGGTTTAAATAAATTGATTTGTAGCAGCTATCTAGAAACTTAAAAGGCATTTATTATCTTAGTAGTCATTTTCTATTTGCATGTTTAATATCTGATTCCCTTTATATTTCTCTTTTGTTTTTAGATCACAAAATTTGTCCAGGATCGGCATAGAGCTAGGAGAAACCGACTTCGTAAAGATCAACTGAAGAAGCTCCCTGTACATAAATTCAAAAAGGGTAAGCGATTATTTTCTGAATAACCACCATTAGTTTATTTAATAATACATGGTGATCGTACTTTAGTAATCCTGCGGAGTCCTTGCGGTACGCTATGCCTGATTCTCAGTTAGTGATTAATGAGGGAGTGTAGAAGATGGTCTTTTGCTATGGTTTATCCTGGTAAAGGCAGGAACAGTCGGGGCAGGGGTGGGTACTGGTCTTCAGAGAATTTAAAAACGATGATGAAACTGGCCGAAAATGCTTTATCATCCCCGTGCGCCAGAAGTTGAAAACGTCCGTGGGTAAAGTACTTCTCTGCACCAGGCGGTCTGCTCCCGCTGATCCTCCTCGTCTCTCTCCTCCCTCCGTCACTGTATTAACACTGTGTTAACTGAACACTGTAGTGCTGGGTTAACTAAACACAGTAGGGTAGCTATTATGTATCGATGTATTTTAAATGTATCATCTCATTTTAATTTTCATATTCCTATGAAATGGGTACCATAATGGTTATTGTATATGAGGAAATAGAGGGTCAGTTCAATTCAGTTGCTCAGTCGTGTCCAACTCTTTGCAACCCCATGAACCGCAGCACACCAGGCCTCCCTGTCCGTCACTAACTCCCGGAATTCACCCAAACTCATGTCCATTGAGTCAGTGATGCCATCCAGCCATCTTATCCCCTGTTGTCCCCTTCTCCTCCTGCCTTCAATCTTTCCCAGCATCAGGGTCTTTTCAAATGAGTCAGCTCTTCGCATCAGGTGGCCAAAGTATTGGAGTTTCAGCTTCAACATCCGTCCTTCCAATGAACACCCAAGACTGATTTCCTTTAGGATGGACTGGTTGGATCTCCTTGCAGTCCAAGGGACTCTCAAGAGTCTTCTCCAACACCACAGTTCAAAAGCATCAACTCTTTGGTGCTCAGCTTTCTTTATAATCCAACTCTCATATCCATACATGACCACTGGAAAAACCATAGCCTTGACTAGATGGACCTTTGTTGGCAAAGTAATGTCTCTGCTTTTCAATATGCTGTCTAGGTTGGACATAACTTTCCTTCCAAGGAAAGGGAAAAAATTTCCAAGGAAAGAGGGTCAGAAAGGCAAAACATTTAATGTTACCTCACCAGTACTGATAGAGCCAGGAGGGGTCTAACACTCTAGCTAAAGTTTCTCTTGCTTAAGCTCCGTGAGCTTTCAGTGCGGTACATGCTTATTAAATCTTTTTGGCCAGTAGTTCCCTAGAGTTTTCAATTTCTATGCCAGTAAAAATGTTCTGTTTTTTTAATTCAGTAGAGAAAATGCATAGAGAGTGGAAAGGAGGAAAAGAGAAGGCATTAAAACTTAATTCTGTCAACTATACTTCAATTTAAAAAAAAAAGTTTAACAACAGAAATACAGGAAAATTGCATGTTAAATAATTATCAACATTTATAAAAATGCAGTGCGCTGTCATCATACAGTGTGGATTAATTAAAAGTTATTCATAGGCCAATTTGAGGGCTGCCTTTAGGAATCACTTTTTAAGGCTCCATACTTTCATTCCTCAACTGGAAGTATTGGTATAAAGGTGTATTTAAATCACGAGACTGCTGATATCACCAAGAGAATGAGTATAAATGGACAGAATGCCAGACATTTTGGGGCAGCCTAACCCTGAGTAAGGAAGAAGTGGAATCAGCAGTGGAGACCAAGAAGTGACCAGGTATACAGGGGAAAATCAGAAAACAGTGGTTTACCAGAAACCAAGTGACCCCAGTCTCTGTAAAGAGCAAAGAGTGATTGATAACCTGTGTCAAGTGTTCCTGATAGATCGATGAGAACTGATTGATACTGATTATCATCATGTGCAGTTTTGACAGAGTGATCAGTCCAAAATCCTGACTGTGGTGGGTTTCAAAATGGAAGGAGAGGAATAATAACTATAGACAACTTTTTCAAGAAATTTAACTATAAAGGAGAGCAAAGAAATGGTGCAGTAGCTGATAGGGGAAATTTCATTGAAATAATAGCTTATTTGCTGAAGAAAATTGATGATGTAGGGGAGAGATGGGAGAATTGCTATAATATATGTCTTTGAGAAGGCAGGAAGGCATGGGATCTGGTGTACAAATAGGTGGATTGGCCTTAGGTAGGCGCATGGAGAGCTAAGCTCAGGTAAAGTAGAATATGTGGGCACAAAATCCTGGCAGTGTTTATGGTGATCAAGATGTGGAAGCATTCTTTACTCCATGGCTCTCAGTGAAGTAGGAAACGGAATCAGCAACCAAAAGATAGGATGGGGAGGAGATGTTGGAGGCTTAAGGACAGAAACGTATAGGATATTATTCTAGGAGAGCAGATGGACAGATGGAAGAGGGAAATATGATTGCCTGCGGCCTGAACCTCCCTTTCAGGTTCATAGTTATGAACCAATCAGCATAACTGTGTTTTTCTGTAGCCATGTTCATCTGTATGGAGTGGTGTCTGTCCTTCCTATACCTTTACATTTTTTTAGAAATGTGAAGTATAATGTGTATGCAGAAAAGGATATAAGACATTTTTCTGAAACTTTCCAGTTCAAGAAACAGAACCTTATTAGTATCGCAGAAACTACTGTGCCCCTTCTAGACTAGGACCCTTCCCTTCTCACTGGACGTAATCACCATGCTGGCCTATGATAATCATGTCGCTGCCTCTCTCTTGAGTTTACCACCTATGTATGGGTTCTGAAACAGCATGACACAGTTTCCTGTTTTTGAATTGTATTCTTTGGTCCTTCCTCTTTGACGTTTTTTGGATGCAGTTAACCCACCTTATTGCATGCATATGTAGTTCATTCAGTGTCATTTCATTGTGTAAATACATTGTTTATCCATTTTACTGTTAATAGACAATTGGGGTTTTGTTTTGTTTTTTATTTTTTGTTGAAGTACAGTTGATATACAATGTTCTGTTTCCCCAGTTTGGGGGGATCTTTACAGACCATACTTTTAAGAACATTCTTGTACTTATATCCTGGTATATATGAGCATGGATTTCTTTATAGAGTACATACCTAGAAATAGACTAGCTGGCTCATAGGATATACATATCTTCTATTTTATTGGATAATACCAAATCTGTTTCAAAGGAATGATGTTAACAGTTTATATTCCCATCAATATGTATAGGAGTTCCTCTCACCTCACATCTGAACAAATATTTTGTACTGACAGACTTTTAAATCTTAGCCAATCCAGTGGGTTTATAAAGATAGCTCACAGTGGTTTTAATTTACATTTCGCTCCTTGTCAGTGAGGTGAAGTGCCTGTTTTTATTTACTAGTTAGATTTTCACGTCCATGAAGCAGCTTCCATGTCATGCTTCCTGTTGGGTTGTGCTCTCCTGCTCTTCACATGCAGGAGGAGTTCTTCAGATATCCGCACAGCACCCCCTCCTTCCGCAGAGTTGTGGGTGTGTTGGTGAATCAGCTCTTCACTGATTTTATGTGTCCTAACTGTTTTCCGGTTTCGTTGCTTATTTTTTTCACAGGACTAAAGTTCTTTTATGTTTTGCATGTTTTAAAAGAACTTCCATACTCTTAAGATCATATGGATATTATATTATTTTCTGAAAGCTTTATAATTTTGCCTGTTATGTTTGGACATTTAGTCTATCTAAATTGATTCTGTAAAATTTGGGCCCAATTTGTTTCCAGTTTGATATTTTGTATAAGGATATACAGTTGTCCCAGAGCTATTAAACATACACTGTTTGTAGTGTCGGTCAACTGTGACACAATCCAGTGTCCGTGCGTGTGAGTTTGTTTCTGGACTTCTGTTAGTCTTATTCTTATCTCAGTTACTATAGATTTATGGTAAGTCTTGATATTCTGATTGAGTTAGTCCTCCTGCCTTGCTCTTCAACAATTCTTTAGCTATTCTTGGCATTTTGCATTTCCATGTAAATTTAAAATCAGCCTGTCAAGGCCACCCTACCTCCAAATATATAAATATATGTATATATTTATATATACAGTTATTGTATTTTTTGTAATAAAATATACATAAAAGTGACCATTTTAGCCATTTTTAAGTGTAAAATTCAGTGACATAAGCTGTATTTACATGTGCAGCCATCACCACCATCCATCTCCAGAACTTTTTCATCATCCCAAGTGGAAATTCTGCACCCAGTAAACAGTAACTCTCCATTTCCCCCCTAAGCAGCCCATGGCAACTACCATTCTGCTTTCTATCTCTGTGAATTTGGATATTCTAGTCATGTAGTGAAGTGAAAGTTGCTCAGTCATGTCCAGCTCTTTGCGACCCCATGGACTATACAGTCCATGGAATTCTCCAGGCCAGAATACTGGAGTGGGTAGCCTTTCCTTTCTCCAGGGGATCTTCCCAACCCAGGGATCAAACCCAGGCCTCCCTCATTGCAGGTGGATTCTTTTCCAGCTGAACCACAAGGGAAACCCTCTAGTCTTTTAAGCAGAATAATAAGTACCTGGCTTGCTTGACTTGGCATAATGTCCTCAATATCCATGCTGTAGGTTCATCCACGTTGTAGTATATGTCAGAATCTCTTTCCTTTTAAAAAGGCTGAGTAGTATTCATAATATTCTATGTATATACCACATACTATTTATCCATTCATGTGTTGATAGATACCTAGGTGCTATTGTGAATAATGCTGCTATTAGAGGTTTATAAACATCTGTCAGTCTCTGCTTTCAGTTCTTTTGGGTGTATATCCAGAAGTGAACTTGCTGGATTAAATGGTAATGCTCTGTTGAATTTTTTGAGGAAAGCTATACTAACTGCAGCATTTTACACACCCACCAGCACAAGGCTCCGTTTTTTTACATCCTTGCTAACACTGTCATTTTCTGGTTTTGTTTTTGATAGTAATCATCCTAATGGATGTGACATGGTATCTCATTGTAGTTTTGACTTGCCTTTCCCTGATGATTAGTGATGTTAAGTATGTTATCATGCACTTACTGTTGTTTGTCTGTCTTCTTTGGAGAAATATCTATTCAAGTTCTTGGTC